GTTTTGCCATTGCCTTCTTCTGTGTGTGTGAATGGAGTAATTGTTGGGATGCCACGGAGGAAAACTCCGTGTTGCCTAGACCACGGCCTTGCCCAACACAAGTTATAAATCGAACCCGAGACCCCAGGATTACAAGGCCAGCGTTCTAACCGCTAGACCACCGTGGCTATCGATAATGTATACAGAATTAGAAAGAATAAATTTGGAAGTATTTTTACTTTAATTACGAAAGCATTTTCCCAGCCTGACTTCTGTTACCCTAACAAGGTAAAACAAAGTAAACTCCCTCACTATAAAGTGTATCAGGGGCAAGGAAGAGAAATCCCTAGATATTCTAGAGCTGGCACTAGGTGGAATTGAATGGTCAGCTACACGTTTCAGGCTGCTATATCCCTGGAGAAAGAACCCATGGCGTGTGGACGTGAATAAAACATTTCCTGCCTCTGACGGAAGTCGAAACCACATCGTCCTGCCAGTAACGGTTTAAGTTACTGATAAAGGAAAGTTAAAAGTACATACAATATTTATCTCTGCTAGATTCATTGCACTCGGAGTTTTAAAAACAAAGACATAAAATCTCGATCAAGAAGAGATATCTGCAGTGCTGTTGGCAGCGTTTGTGTTCCATAAGAGGTTTTCTCTTTTACATATCGGTTGTTTGCAGAAATCTACACTCCGTAATTCCTTGTAATTTTTATTTATAAATAATTAATTTTGAAATAAATATCAGCATTTCTACTTTCGGAGAATTTGGTGTGTTGATATTTAAGAAGTACTTATCATCATACGGACATAACATTTATATACGAGGTCTGTTCAAAATGTATCGGACCTTAATTTTTCCCACTGAAACAAATGAAGCACGGGAGGTGTCCTCCGGTGGGGGGGGGTGTTTATACATATTTATTAGTCATCTATATATTCCCAAAACTCAAAGGTACTCATTTAAATAGATATTCCACTTCTTTTGGCACTCATATGAATGTACCTGTGTGCTTTGACCTACGTTTCTCCTAATGGCCGATACTGTTATTTACAGTCAAAGCGCCTCAATGTGACAGATTTATGAATTAAACAGCTGCCACACAATAGACGTTCACTGTGAAACCAGTTATGGTCGCAGAACAACCACGCCATGATTAATGATGGCGGTTCGAATTCAACTTTACATCCTTTGAGTGAAAATAATTTAAAATGGTCCGACGGCTTCATTCTGACAATTTACATTCATATCCTGTATTGAAAATAAAAATTTCGGAGATAGTGACTAACAGTTTCGTCAAGAACGGAAAAAGGTCAACTCTAAACATCATGTATGTTATATATACAAGATAAAATGGGCAGTGTCCCACTTAATGTATCTGCAAAATTTCTCGCATCTTCTGAGAGTGAAATTATCAACGAGTGTCGTAAGCGGATGTTAAGACAGAGATAAATAATGCATGAATCAACATGAAAACGTTCACATTACAGCTCCGAACACCATATCTAAACGATTCCGAAATTAATGGCTCCTTAATTCGTAAAACAGTTTTATATCTTTCGTGGTCCTCAAAGACGACACTCCGGTCAGAAGTATTTAATACTTTAACGTAAAGGTACGCAATATGAAGATGGTTACGTACGTATTAAAAACGGATAGACTGCATTTCGCACGCTACGATGGGATAATACAGGGGTGGGGAACCTTTTCATGCTGGAAGTCCGCATTAATTTAGCTGTAATCAAATAATACCGAATTCAAGAAACTTCAATTAGATATACTTAAAAATGTACATTATTTTGTAAAAATCTAACTGCTATGTACTTAATAATTTCAAAAAATGAAAACTATTTGTTAATTTTAAAGTTAACTAATATTTTAATGACTTTGTTGTGTCTGCTTTTTGTTGGAAAGCATTTGAATATTTGGTTGCAACATGTATTAATAAATATAAAATGATTTGTTCTGTAAAATTTGGATTCAGTCAAAAGGCCGCACTTAAGGACCTAGAAGGCCACAGGTTCCCCACCCCTGGGATAATACGAGAGAGAGAGAGAGATTATCATTCTACTTCGATTTGTAAATCTACCTGCTCACTAACAGATGGATTGAACAAATTCAGAGTAAAATCCAGTAGTAATCTCTTGTGAATAAGACAACTAACTTTTGCGTTTCATACAAGACGGAAAATTTCTTCGCTGGTTGAACGAAAGTCAGCTCTATAATAAACCTCTTCTCTGTGGAGTTAGTTTAAAGCGCCCTCCTGCCTGTCTGCTGTGTACTTTAATACAGAGTAAGGAAATGTTTTATCGCTCTTTAAGCTAAATGTGACAAATGATACCCCCTTATGTTATTCTGCAGTATAAACAATTGCGTCCACCACTAATACTTGTCACGCCGGTCGAGATCGCTCTATTTGCTCGACAGACTACATCCCCTATTCTCTCTCAGCACAACCCCTTTTTCCCACAGGACTAAACCACCCCTAACCTTTACACCCCTCTTTTCTCATGATCTCTCTAACTTCTTATTTGCCCTTCCTCTTTCTTCAGAAAGAACATTCTTTTTATATATTTTATCTCTTTGGTTCCTTAGAACCAAGT